GAACACAACACGACGCTTACCTTCACTGGAGACATTACCAGCGTGTTGTCGGACGGAGATGCGATTGTCATCGATGACACTTCGGTGATCCTCAACGGAAACGGCAAGGCGAACTGGACAACGATGGAGCAGGAGCTGCGCGTACTTGTCATGTTGTCAACCAGCTTGGTTCCTTGATGTTCTGGCATGACCGCCCCGTGGGAGAGAGGGGGGAGGGATGGAGTGGGTCGGAGGAGAATTCCATTGGGAGGAAAAGGGGGAGGATGTGAGGAAGCGTACGGGCCATAGAATGCAGATGCAACGCCGCAACGAATTCCGTGGAGGATGGGGATGAGGACGTCAGTCGGGAAGAAGGCATGGCCGGAGACGCGGAGGCGGAGGGTGAAGGGGAAGAGCCGGGGAACGGGAACGGGGAGGCGGTGGCGGAGAAGGGGAAACGCGAGGTGAATCGGGCCGGACGAAAGGGGGGGATTGGGAAGGGGGGGTTACGAAATTTGCTGCATGCAGCTGGTTTCGGCCCCACCGAGGGGCCCATTCCTCGATACATAGCCGCCTCCGGCGCCGGGAGGCGCCGGGAAAATCAGCTACGTGAGCTGATTCTCAAACCCCCCCTTTGCTATCCCCCCCTTTCGCCCGACCCGAGTGAAGGTGGCGGGGATGAGTCTGGGCGATGGCCAACCTCTGGAGAGTCGAAGAATGAGTAACGGCGGCGATGAGGACGCACTACCTACCCCCAGGCTGTCCCTGGGCGCCACGGCTTTGCGATGAAGCCTCATTGCCGAGCTGAAGCTGACCGTGTCGCTCCAGCTCGTTTGCGAACCTGCAGTACACATTCCCTCCCCGTACTATCGCGCAGAGGCTACCACCACGCGTCTGTAGCTGACGGCGCCTGTCTTTCCACTGAGGCTACTCGCACAAGTTGACCTCAGTCTTTCTCGCACTGTCCACAAGTCTGCCACTGCCTGCTTTTTCGAACGAGCTAACCCCAGTCCGCTTGCCAACTTGCGTTGACAGCATCCGCTGCCACTGCCTGCGCTGAAACGCTGCTACTGCCTGCCTTCTCGCGCCGGCAGACCCTGCTGCCACTGCCTGCCTGCTCGCATTGCCAGTCTCTGCTGCCAGTGCCTCCCTTTTCCCACAAGCTGACCACAGCAGCATTGTAGCTGTTGATGTGCTCGTGACGCCCTTTTGAGCACCGACAACAGTTGCTGCCACTGCCTGCCTTCTTGTACGAGCTGGACTCAACATCAACAGTGTATCTGATGATGTCTGGCCCCCGCGCCGCCCTCGGGCAACGACATCTGTTGCTGCCACTGCTTGCGTTCTCACATGGGCAGTCCCTTCTGCCACTGCACCCCGTGAGCCAAGCGTTGTGGCTGAAGACGTCGGGCTCACCTGTGACCCGCCGCTGGCGGCCACTGCCCGTTTCCGCCGCAGACTGGGAGCATCAAAGTCCGCGGTTATTATCCGCACTGCTGCTGCATTGCACACTGCGGCCTCCTCTGTTGGCTTTCCGCGCCGACAGGCCCTAGTGCCACTGCCTGCCTCCTCGAGCCGCTCCCAGCACTGTAGCTGATGACGCTGCTGGTCTTGGCTGGTCCCTGCTCCCTGCTCTCGCGCACGTGTCGTTCCCAGCACCGTAGCTGATGACACTGCTGATCTTGGCTGGCCCCTGCTCGCCTGCTCTCTCGCACGCACCACTCCCGGGCTTGTGGCCGATGATGTCTCCCTGCTGCTTCGGCGAACTTGCCAGCACTCTTGCAGCAGCTCTGCGACTGGCGTCACTGCTCGCCAGGAGTTCGAGGAGGGGCTGGAAGAGGGGAAAGGAGGAAAGACCGGAGCGGGCCATGTTTCCTGGCGGGTTGGCGCGCCTGATCTCAGTGTTGTAGCTGATGACGTGGGGCGCCACGCTTCTCGATGTCGGCTCCCGCGAGCAAGGACATTTCGAAGCTGGCCCGCGAAACACCCGGTTGCGCCTCGAGCAGGGGGGGGGGGCCGCTCTCGCGCGAAATGGCTTGAGCCAAAATGGCTACGACGGGGAGGAGGAGGGGCAGGAGGAGGAGGAGGAGGGAGGAGGATGAGAGGGAGGAGAAGGAGGAGGAGGAGGAGGATCAGGAGGAGGAGGATGAGGAGGAGGAGGAGGAGGAGGAGGAGGGAAAGGAGGAGGAGGAGGAGGAGGTGGAGGATGAGAGGGAGGAGAAGGATGAGGATGAGGAGCAGGAGGAGGAGGAGGAGGAGGAGCAGGAGGAGGAGGCAGAAAGAGAAGGAGGAGGAGGGGCAGGAGCAGGAGCAGGAGGAGCAGGAGGAGGAGGAGGCAGCGGAGGAGGAGGAGGGGACCAGGAGGAGGAGGAGGAGGAGGAGGAGGAGGAGGAGGAGGAGGAGGAGGAGGAGGAGGAGGAGGAGGGGACGACGGCGAAGGCAGAAGTGGGGGCAGAGATGGAGGAAAAATATTGCGACGATGATGACGACGACGAGGAAGAGAAAGGTGACGAGGATGACGAGGAGGATGGGGAGGAGGAGGAGGAAGGGGGGGGTATAAGGAGGTGGACGAGGATGGAACGCGATCGCTCTCTGAGGTTGTCGCTCGATCTTTCGTCCTCTCTGTGCGTCGGGACCTGGCAGTGCCATGGGTAACGCCGCCATCACATCCAGCAGCATCTGAGTTTTCAGCTCGACGGGAACTCGCAACAACATCGACCGCGCCACCAGCGCACCTGACAGCTCCGCAGCCTTCAGCATCGGTGGAACGGGCACTACTGCCAGCGACAGCCCCCTCGCAGCCGGCACCACCTCCGACTCTGGCTCCTATGGTCCCAGTTGGGTTGCTCGCAGGCGCCCCAACACAGGCAGCAGCACCATTGCGCCCGAAACGTCGGAGATTGGCGACACCACCGGCAGCAGTTCTAGCGCGCCCGTTAGCGGCGCCGTCAACCGCAGCACCAGTGCACGCAGCTTCACAAACACCACCAATACGACGGGAAGTGGCAGCACCAGCGGCCGCAGGACGGGACCTAGCAGTACCGTCAGTAACTGCATCAGCGAATCCAGCAGCACCACTACCTCCGGCTCGACGGGGCCCGGCAGCACTGGCAGCTGCAGCCCTGGCGGCTCCGGCAGCTTCATCGCTTCCAATACGACGGGTCGTTGCAGGACCGCCGGCAGCCACACCAGCGCACTCAGCAGCATCGGTACTTCCAGTTCGACGGGCCTCGGCAGTCCAGGCAGTACTGTCAGCAGCTACGTCGCAGCACCCAGCAGCTCCATTACCTCCAGGTCTATGTGATCCAGCAGCACTGTCAGCAGCTGCGCCAACACATCCAGCAGCCCTGGCGGATCCGACAGAGCCGCAGTGTCCAGCACGACGGGAAGTAGCAGCATCACCAGATACGTCACCCATGCAACCAGACTTACCGCAGTTGCCAGCACGATTGGACCCCAGCGCATCAGTCGCAGCAACACCAGCGCACCCAGCAGCACTTGTTCGCCGGGACCTGGCAGCACCGCTGGCAGCAGCGCCACCGCCAGGGCATCCCACAGCGGCAGGGCCCACAGCACGACGGGGAACGACGCTACCTGGGACAGCAGCACTCGAGCATCCAGCAGCACCTCAGTTTGCAGCACCACCACCGAAGTCGTCATCACCTACGGCAGCAGCATTTTCTTCGAGGCTTCCATCCTCATCCTCCTCGCGACGGTCGACCAGTACAGCCCCGCGTTCATCGGCGTGCGACCCCTGCCCACTCCGAAGCGCTGCGCTCCTGGCACTGCATTCGCCAGCTGCTCCGAGCGGCCTGGCGCAACCCCCGCGGGCAGCAGCACCAGCGCACCCTGCAACACATCAGTACCCAACGCGACGGGAGCCGGCAGTACATTCGGCACCAGTATCATCACTCCCAGCTGCTCCAGCGCAGTGGGAATCGGCAGTATTGTACGCAGCGACTCCAACAGCAGCTGGTTCAGTGCAGCCAGCCGCACTTCCAATACGACGGGAACCAGCACTTCCATCGACAGCATCACCTACGCAGCCGGCAGCCCCGCGGGATCCTCCAGCTCCCTCAGCAGCGAATTCATCGAACCCAGTGGCGCCGCACTTTCCAGCACGACGGGGCTCAGAAGATCGACTGGCAGCATCGTCAGCGCATCCAGCAATGCCACAGCTTCCTGTAAGACGGGTACCAGCAGCTCCACCCGCAGCGGCCCCACCAGCAGCATCACCACCAGCACATTCAGCAACGCCGCAGTTTCCACCACCAACGGGGCAGGCGCAGTCAGTGGCAGCAGCGACGTCGCAGCCAGCGGCAACACGGTCTTCGCCACACAGGGAATCGGCAGGGCCGCGCGCTGCAACCCCAGCGCACTCAGAAACACCACTGTTCCCAAAACGGCGGAGATTGACAGTACCACTTGCTGAAGCACAAGCCCAGCCGACGGCCCCGCAGGGTACAGCACGAGGGGGGCCTGCAGTTCCATCAGCAACGGGATCAACGCAACCAGCGGCGTCACGCTCTCCAGCACGGCGAGACTTAGCAGCACAATCGGTTGCAGCGGCAGCGCAACCACCGCCCCCGGCGCAACTGGCGGCACCGCAGCTTACAGCACGACCTGTCCCAGCCGCTCCACTGGCAGCAACACCAGAATATCCAGCAACATCGCATGACCCTGCACAACGGGCGCCTGCAGCTCCACCGGCAGCAGCATCAACGCATCCGGCGGCACTGCAGTCTCCAGCAGAACCATGTCCAGCGCGACCTGCTCCAGCACCACAATTGACAGCAGCACCAGAGCAACCAGCAGCATCGCAGAGCCCAGCACCAGAGCATCCAGCAGCACCAGAGCATCCTGCAGCACCACTGGCAGCAGCGCTGCTGCAGTGTCCAGCGCGACGGGACTCATCTGCAACACCAGCTCTTGCACCGCACCGTGGACCTCCCGACAGTCCGGGGCCGGATGGGGGCCTGACTGCACTAGTGCCAGAACGTCGTGGCCCAGTACTCCCACCAATGCTCGGGCCCTACACTGGGGATTACACTGGTGGGTTCTGGAATTCCCAGGCGTATTTTGCGAGCGATCCCGAGCTACAACACGCCAAGCAAAGCTATGCAGACAGGCTTTTTGCACAACGCGACTTTGTGGGCCTGGCGGAAACCCACAGCACGCATGGGAAAGTATTGGCATCCAGAGCCCTAGCGGGAGGCTGTTCTTTCTGGGCACATGGCTCCAACTCTCAGGCCGGCATCGGCTTGTTGTTGAAACCTGAGTTTGTGGAGCGGTTCAACCCCCCCGACGAGAACAGCTGGGTCGGGATCGAAGCTGGTCGCGCGGCGAAGCTGTCCCTGCGAGGGCCCGGTGGCGCGCTCGATGTCTTCGTCGTCTACCTGGCGTCGGGTTCTGCTTCGGATATCCGGTCTGCGCGGAGAGCCACTCTGACCCGTCTGGCGCAGCACGTGGAGCCACCAGACCGTGTACTCAGCATCATGGTGGGGGATTTTAACTTCGTCGCGGACCGCCGGGACCGTTGGTCGAAGTCTGACGGCGCGTGGTCTGGGGACGCCGACCAGGCGGAGGCCAGACTCTTCCAGGCTTTGTTCTGCGGCCAGAAGGGCTTCCAAGAGCTCCACCAACCGCTCTTTACTCACGAGTGCGGCCTCGCGCGTTCCCGATTGGACCGCGCCTACTCGAACCACGCCTTGGCGGACCAATTGGACAGGCATTACGGCCGATACGTGTTGCCAGCGACAAACCTATCAGCGCACCGGGCTCTATCTTTCAGTCGTTCCACACCTGACACGAACCGCTGCGGGGGCACAGTCGTCACCACCCGAGCCACGGCCCACCCTGACTACGGAAGACGGGTTGCCTTGGAATTTCATTCTCTCCTTGCTTCCGACGAGCAGCCCGCCTCCCACATGAGGCAATTGGTCTTGGTCAAACGGGCCATGCGCACGGTTTCCAAGGGCATGCGTCGTGCCGAAGACGAGGCGCGCGCAGACGGCACCGACGATCAATTGGGTTGGGTGCTCAGCTTCGTCAGGGCCGCAGAGAGCGTGAATCTTACAGGCATGCGCCGGTGCGCCAAGGCATACCCCGCCATCTGCGGTTATGTCAACTCCGAAGACCCAGAGGCCAGAACCAAACCCGGCTTCTGGCAGCTCAAGAGCAGAGCGGTGCAGCTGGCGCGCCAGGCCATCACGGAGGAGATAGAGGATCTGCGCTCCAGGAAAGGGGAAGGCTGCGAGGCGACCCCCCACAGCAAGTCCAACATCCTGACCAAATTGAAGCGTCTTCTTCCTGGAGGCAGCACGACAGTGGCGGCCATGCAGACCGAGAGCGGGGACGTCACGGACAGGGCAGACGAGATGGCTGAAGCTCTCCGCGTGCACTGGGAGCGGGTTTTCAGGGCACCGCTGGTTGACATGAGGGAGATGCGACAGTGGCTGGGCTCCCTGCGCTCCGCTGCGCCTGGCGAAGAGGTGCAGGAGACTGAGGTGCACCCTGGCGACCCTCTCCGCAGGCGCCGCCGCCCCCGGCAAGCCGTCCCGAGCGAGGCTTGGAAGTGGCGGGTCCGCCGGTGCGACGTCGAGCAGGCGATCCGCGCGGCCGGCGACACGTCGCCGGGCCCAGACGGGATACCTTTCGCAGCGTGGAGAGCTATCACAGGGCTGGGGGTCTCTATCCTCCTCGGCGTCGCCATGCAGCTGGAACGAGAAGACGCGCCGGAAGCGCTCCAGCAGGCGTACGCGGACGAGAGCGAGAGTGGCACGCACGGGTACAATCTCGGCACACTGGTCTGCTTGCCAAAGGCACCCAGCGGGGAGGATCCAGAGTTAGGGACGTACTTTCGGGCTGCGGACACCCGTCCACTCTCCATTGTGAACTGCGACAACAGACTAGTCGCAAACGCGATGAGACTACGCTGGGAGGAACACCTAAGCGGCTTCGTTCGCGAGAGACAACAAGGGTTTCTCCGGGGCCGCTCTATCCTGAAAGATTTACTCGAGGTCGAGACGGCAATGATGCTTCGCTCCCTGCAGGACGACAATGCCGCGGCGGTGTTTCTCGACTTCGCTGCTGCGTTCCCCTCCATCTCTCAGCAATACATTCACGAATGCTTGGTGCACATTGGAGTCCCCGCTAATGCAGTCAATGCGTTTCAGAGTCTGTACAACGAGTGCCGGTGCAACGTGTCTGTGAAGGGGCAGACGTTTGTCGGCTTCAGCATGTCTTCAGGCGTTCGGCAGGGGTGCCCCCTCAGCCCACTCATCTATGCCGTCGCCGCTGAGCTCCTCCTGGACGCCATCGAGGAGAGGACGCCAGAGGCTTTCGTGAGGGCCTACGCGGACGACACGGCCTTGGTACTTCAGGATTTCTGGAAGGCTGCCCCGGGCTTGGCCGACACGTTTGCAGTCTTCGAAAGGATATCTGGCCTCAGGCTCAACATGACGAAGTCCTATGTGATCCCCCTCAACGCAGCTACGTTCGACGCCTTCGAGCGCAGGAAAGCGAGCGAGGTCCCTCAGTGGGCCACAATGCCCGTGTGTTCCAGTTGTAAATATCTCGGCTTTCAGATGGGCCCCGGCAAGGGCGACTCTTCGTGGAACAAGCCGTGGCAGAAATACTTGGGGCGGGTAGATATGTGGCAAGACCAACCTTTGGGACTTCACTGGAACGCGAGGGTCTACAACACGTTCGCGGTTCCAATATTGGGCTACGTCGCTCAACTCGAGACGCCCCCGGCTTGGCTGGTCAAGTCGGCCGGCCACTCCCTGCGGAAGGCGGCCAGAGGCCCCGGCGGGTGGGCAGCCTCCGAGGACCTGTGGGCGCTGAGGGAGTCCTTCGGGTTAACAGCCTCCTTCACCAACATCCAGTGGTATGCCCTGGCGGCCAAGATCCGGGTGGTGCAGTTCGACAGGGCCTGCGCGCCAAAGGCTTGCTTTCTGGCGGACGTGGAGCGACTGCGGGAAGCCCTGCGCAGCCCTCCGCGCGACCACTCTCGATTTGCGTGGAACGACTGGTACAGCCGAAGCTTCATCCTGGCCTTGGCCCAGGCGGAGAGCGAGCTCCAGCATCACCACGCCACGGTGGAGGGTCTGCGACGATCACGCCCGTCTGGCGACCGAGCAATTGAGCGGGACACGGCGTGGCGGAAGGATTGCCAACGCACGGTGTATGCTTATTTGGCGGCCCGCATGGCGCCAGACCCCACAATGCGACTGCGGGCGAAACTCCAGAGATGGGAGTTGGAGGACGGACGCCGCCACGCAGTCATCTTCGGCAGCGTGCAGGAACGCACGCCTGCCTGGCAGGGCCGCCGCGCATCCCACCTGCTGCAGGTCTTGGGTAGCCTCTCGCCGCCGCGGGTCCAGGCAGCAGTCTTCTCGACGCTCTTCAATCGATGGACCACAGCTCGGCGATTCCAGGGCCGCGCGCGGTGCCTCTTTGGCTGTGGTGACGGCTCCGAGGACAGCATCGAGCATTACTGCCGCTGCAGAGCCGTACGGACAGTGTTTCAGCGCAAGTTGCGCCTCGACCCAGGCGTTTTCTGCAACCTCCACACATTCCTGCTGGTCAACCCGCGCATCCGCTCGAAGGAGGTGCTGTCCCTGCTCGGCCTTGCCATCTACGCGGTGTACACGTGCACCAACACGATGACACACCGAGGGCGGTGCGACTTCGAGGTCGCGGTCGACGCAATCACCCAGGCAGTGAGGGAGGGAGCCAAAGGACACAGGGTGGCTCTGCGCGCGCTGCGGTCGAGGTGGTCAGCGGCCACGGAGGAAGCGGCGCTGCCCCCCCTTCCACCGACCTCCTTCCCCCGGAGGGTCGCAGCTCTCCGGCGCGGGTGCCGGGGGGAAGGCCAGGAGGGGCACAGATCGAGGAGGCGCACCGCATAGGCCAGTGCAGGAGCTGACGTTCTCCCCCGCCACCGCTGATCCCAACGGATACTGTTTCTTCTTCGCCCTCTTCTACATCTCCGACATCTCAGATTGACTTGGGTCTCAAAGGGATTGTTTCTTGCATCTATTTTCAGGCCGGTTGTGGTGCAGCGGCAATTTCTCCGACGTCTTCCTGTCCCCCGCCGTCTCGACCCCGACTCCGACACGTCTTCGTCGTTATCCAACATATCCTCTTCAGTTCTGTTGGCCGCAACTGTTGACCACTTGATATATTGGGCTGGCTGGTTCTATTTGGTTGCGTCCGCCTACGCCACCACCGCGACGGCCAGCACTCCCACGCCTGCACCAGCAGCGATGCCGGCATCGACGCTGGCACCAATTCCGGCGCCTACACTGGCCTTGACACCATCATCGCAGACAGTGCCAACGCCCGCACCTTCGCAAGCGCCAGCGCCGTCGCCCTCACCAGCGCCGTCGCCAGCATCGCCGCCTACACAATTTCTGGCGCCGATACCAGCAGTGACGCCAGCATCGATGCCGGCACCAACCTTGGCGCCTACAGCACCATCGACACTGGCAGCGACGCCTGCACCAACGCCTGCAGTCACGCTGGCACCAACTCCGGCGCCTACATTGGCATCGACACCAGCATCGAAGACAGGGCCCACGCCCGCACCTGCGCCAACGCCAGCGCCGACGCCCTCACCAGCTCCGACGCCAACATCGCCGCCTACACCAGATCCGGCGCCGACAGCGCATCGACGCCATCACCGAGGACAGCGCCAACGCCTGCACCTACGCTGGCACCAGCGCGAGCACCTACACCAGCATCGACGCTAGCATCTACGCAGGTACCTATTCTGGCGCCTACGGCACCTCCGACGCCAGAATCGACGTCAGCGCCAACGCCTGCACCTATACCGGTACCAGCGCCAGCGCCTACACCAGCATCGACGTCGACATCTACCAGGGTATTAACTCCGGCGCCTACGCCGGAACCTGCGCCAGCGCCTTCACCAGCAGCGACGCCAGCAGCGACGCCAGCACCAACTCCGGCGCCTACAGTGGCTTCGACACCAGCACCGTAGTCAGTGCCAACGCCCGCACTTTCGCCCACGCCAGCGCCGATGCCTTCACCAACTCCGACGCCCGCCAGCATCGCTGCCAGCATCGCCGCCTGCACAAGATCCGGCGCCGACAGCAGCGCCGACGCTATCACCGAAGACAGCGCCAGCGCCTGCACTTACGCCGGCACCAGCGCCAGCACCTACACCAGAATCGACGCTAGCATCTACGCCAGTACCGACCCCGGCGCTTACTGCAGCTTCGACGCCAGAATCGACGTCAGCGCCAACGCCTGCACCGATGCTGGTACCAGCGCCAGCGCCTCCCAGCGCCTCCATCAGCATCAACGTCGACATCAATTCGGGCACCAGCTTCTGAGACAACGCTGGCACCAGCGCCAGCGCCGATACCAGCAGTGACGCCAGCATCGATACGGGCACCAACCCTGGCGCCTACAGCACCATCGACACCGGCAGCGACGCCTGCACCAACGCCTGCACTCACGCTGGCACTAACTCCGGCGCCTACAGTGACATCGACACCAGCATCGAAGACAGGGCCCACACCCGCACCTGCGCCAACGCCAGCACCAACGCCCTCACCAGCACCGACGCCAGCATCGCCGCCTACACGAGATCCGGCGCCGACAGCGCATCGACGCCATCACCGAGGACAGCGCCAGCGCCTGCACCTACGCTGGCACCAGCGCAAGCACCTACACCAGCATCGACGCTAGCTTCTACGCCGGTACCAAATCCGACGCCTACGGCACCTCCGACGCCAGAATCGACGTCAGCGCCAGCGCCTGCACCTATACCGGTACCAGCGCCAGCGCCTACACCAACATCGACGTCGACATCTACGCGGGTACCATCTCCTGCGCCTACGCCGGCCCCAGCTCCAGCGCCTATACCAGTGGCGAGGCCAGCAGCGACACCGGCACCAACCCCGGCGCCTACAGCACCATCGACACCAGCAGCGGCCCCTGTGCCAACGCCTGCACTCACGCCAGCACCATCGCTTCACCTGCACCTTGGCTGGCAGCTACGCGTCCGCAAGGTGGCCGCAAGTGGCTGGAGGCAGGCTCCGATGAGCCCGCCGATGAAAAAAAAAAGTACAACACGAGGGACGGGCTGACGATGGGCCGCAGCCTCGTGACCGCACCGACACCAGCACCCACGCTTGTGCCTATGCCTTCACCGACGCCCACGTCTACACCAGCACCGACGCCAGCACCAACGCCGACGCCTAACCCGACACCAATGCCAGCGCCTCCACTTGCCTTCGGCCCGCGGTCGAATAAGCCCTGCTCCAGGCGTCCTATCCCACCCAATGGGATAACGAGTGCGCCACCCACCACTTCTATCTCCAGCTCCGACTCCCCGACTCCGACGCCCGACTCCGACGTCCAGCTCCGTCGCCAGCCCCACGGCGGGCGCCTACGCCAGCGAAGACGCCAGCACCGACACCAGCACCCACGCCGGTGCCTATGCCTTCACCGACGCCCACGCCTACACCAGCACCGACGCCAGCACCGACGCCAGCACCAACGCCGACGCCTAACCCGACACCAATGCCGGCGCCTACACCTGCATTCGACCCGCGGTCGACAAAAAAAAAACCCTGCTCCAGGCGTCTTATCCCGCCTCATGGGATAACGATTGCGCCACCCACCACTTCTTTCCCCAGCTCCGACTCCCCAGCTCCGTCGTCCAGCTCCGACGCCAGCACCGCCACCGGCGCTTACGCCAGCGCAGACGCCAGCACCGACGCCAGCACCCACAATTGTGCCTACGACGCCAACGCCTACACCAGCACCGACGCCAGCACCGATGCCAACACCAACGCCGACGCCTAACCCGATACCAGTGCCAGCGCTTACACCTGCATTCGACCCGCGGTCGAATAAACCCCGCTCCCAGCTACTTATCCCACCCCATGGGATAACGAGTGCGCTACCCACCACTTCTATCCCCAGCTCCGACTCCCCAGCTCCGACTCCCCAGCTCCGACGTCCAGCTCCGACGCCAGCACCACCGCCGATATCTACGCCAGCGCAGACGCCAGCACCGACACCAGCACCCATGCTTGTGCCTATGCCTTCGCCGACGCCAACGCCTACACCAGCACCGACGCCAGCACCGACGCCAGCACCAACGCCGACGCCTAACCCGACACCAATGCCAGCGCCTACACCTGCATTCGACCCGCGGTCGAATAAACCCTGCTTCAGGCTGCCTGCGAACGTCGGCGCCTGCGCCAGCTTCAACGGCTGCGCCTACATCAGTACCGACGTCAGCACCGACGCCAGCTCGAACGCCGGCACATACGCTAGGGCCGACGCCAGCACCCGACGCCAGCACTGCACCAACGCCTGCGCCTACGCCAGCTTCACCGCCAGCGCCTGCGCCGAGACCAGCGCTAGCGCCTACACCAGCACCGACGCCAGTACAGACGCACGCACGAACGGCAGCGCCTGCACCGTCTCCAGCTCCAGCGCCTACACCAGCACTGGCGCCAGCATCGACGCCAGCACCAAAGACGACGCCATCATTAACGCCTGCGCCCACGCCGGCACCAACGCCAGCACCTACACGGCCGACGTCAGCGACGACGCCAGCACAAACGACGGCGTCTCCACCGGTACCAAAGCCCAGCACCTCCACCAGCACCGACACCAGCACCGACGCCAGCACCAATGCCTGGGCCTCCGCCGGAACCGACGCCAGCTCCGACGTCCGCATCAATGCGTGCGCTTGCGCCGGCATCAACGCCTACGCCCACGCTGACATCAGCACCGACGCCAGCGACTACGCCTACGGCGGGTCGCATGAGCACCACGCCGGATAACGACCGCGGCACGACAGGTACCACGAGCAGCACGGCGGAGCACGCAACCAGTACGACGAGTACTCCTAGGCAGCCCGCCGAAACTCATGAGCAAGACAACGCTTTCAATGAGCAGCACATCGGATACCACGAGCATGGCACGACGAGCATCACGCGCAACACAACGACTACCACGAGCAGCACATCGAGCACAAGGAGCTGCACGGCGGACACCACTGGCAACACGACGGATATCACGTGCAGCGCGCTCACTTCGACATCTCCGAGTCGATCCCTGGAGCCTCGTGATTCTGTCCCTCAGCTGCACCTTCTGAGGCCAGCCGCAGATAGTAGTCTGGGCCCTTCCTTCCCCCTCCCCCCGCTCCCTCCTTTTGCCTCCCCGGCTGTTTTATTTTGTATAGTGTTTTTCAGGTACGCGTGCATGTGCCGGGCACTCCAACCGGGCGGGCCGCTGTTACTCAGCGAGCCTCCAGCGCCCGCCGGCTGGAGCCGAAGACTTTACACCTTACTTCAGGAATGGTTTCGCGCCCAGGCCGCCATACGTGCGTGGCTTTTGTGGCCCGTCGGATATTTTCTGGCGTGCATGTTCGCAGGCCCGATGTTGGCTCTTTCCTCTTCTGCGTTTCGGGTGGCCCTGTAGGGTAATCCGCAGGTGTCGCCGCTGCACTTCTTTTCTCCTCCGCCTCTCTCCCCCTCTCCTCCTCTTCTTCCCTCCCTCCTTGCCGCTGCCGCCGCTGCCGCCTCTCCCCCTTATGATAGCGTGTTGGTGCGTTTGATTCGCTCCACCGGAGCTGCGCTCGCGGGGGATTCCCGAGCGCTGGGGCATGACCAGTCTACGGCCCGTTTTGACAGATACGTTTTAAGTGGGAATTCGTATCGGGAGGCCCGTGTTGGCCAGCGCATTCGCCAGACCGCAGGTCTCGAAAAACCCGGTCTTAAGTAACATTTCCGGCCTGGCCCCTGGGCAATAATTGTCTCGGGTGCTCTTTCGCTGTCCCTACCACGTGCCTGATAGCGTCTCCGTATTCTTTGGTGGTCGGCTGCCCACGCAGCCCGGCTTTCCTCCATGTCCGGGGGCAGTGGCCATGCGAAGTTGTCGAGGCATCCAGCCGCCGTGGTCGACGTGGAAACAACAAAAAAAAAAAAGTTCGGGGCCCCGAGGGGCCGTCAGAAATCTGCCTTGCATGACAGAGTCTGGTCAGGATGAACGCGAGATGGGGACCAGGGATTCGTTTGAGAAGATTTTGACAGGGACCTGTGGGAGGAGGAAGAGGAGGAGAAGGATGAGGAGGAGGAAGAGAAGGGGAGGAGGAGGAAGAGGAGTCCGAGGATCGTTGGTGCCATCTGTCACACGGTGGATGCAAGGGGGGATGATGATGATGATGATGATGATGATGAGGAGGAGGAGGAGGAGGAGGAGGAGGAGGAGGGGGAGGAGGAGGACGAAGATGAACTCGATGACGGTGATGTTGATGCTGCCGATGCTGCTGATGATGATGCTTTTGACGATGCTGCTGATGATATTGATGATTGTGCTTATGATGATGATGATGATGATGATGATGATGATGATGATGCTGATGATGATGGTGATGATGATGATGACGGTGATGATGATCATGATGATGATGATGACGACGACGATGAGTATGACGATGCTGATGGTGACGACGATGATGATGCTGATGATGATGCGGACGATGGTGATGATGATGGTGATGATGCTGTTGTAGTTGATGATGATGATGATGGTGTTGTCGTCGATGATGATAGCGATGATGATGAATATGATGCTTGCGACGACGACGACGATGATGATGACCATGATGATACAGATGGCGATGATGATGAGTATGATGGTGATGCTGATGATGGTGACGATGATGCTGGTTATAATGATGATTAAGATAATCGATGACGTCGACGCTGCCGGCGACGACGATGATGATGCTGACGTTGATGCTGTTGTTGATGATCATGGTGGTGATGGTGTTGTTGGTGGTGGTGCTGACAATGCTGCTGCTGATGATGATGCTGATGCTGATGCTGATGCTGATGCTGTTGCTGCTGATGATGATTGTGATGATGATGACGATGATGATGGTGATGATGATGACGATTATGCTGATGATGATGAGGATGATGATTATGCTGATGATGATGATGGTGATGGTGATGGTGATGGTGATGATGATGATGATGATGATGATGATGATGCTGATGCTATGGTGATATTGGCGCTGGTGATGACGAAGAGGAGCGGGATGAGCAGGAGGATGAGGAGGTGGAGGAGGAGGAGGAAGAGAGAAGGGTAACTGTGATGCCTTTCAGACACTCGCCTACACGGCTGAGCTCGCTTTCGAGATGCTTGACGGAAAGGTCTCCAGAAGATTTCCTGGTGCCGATTTTGAGGGGGGGAATGCAGTTTCGGAGCAGGAGAAGGAGCAGGCGGAGTCCCGCGAAGAGGAGAGAGTTCGGTGCCCGGGTTTGGAGTCCACGAAGAGGGGGAGGATCAGTTCAAGGATGAAGCTCACGTTGAGGGGAGGAGGAGGGCGGTTGGGGCGAGCGAAGCGGCGCCTGCAGTACCAAGTGTCCCGGCTGTCCGGCATCTACTCGTACGCGGACGAGACGGAGAACGAGGGCGAAGGCTCCCCCGCCGCAGCACCCCCCCGCGGCGCTGCCCTCCCGCAGCAGTCTCTCCAGACCGGCGCAGGCTTCCCGCGGAGCCGCTGATCACGTGCTCGTCTGAGCATCTCTCCCCTCCTGCGCCTCGTCTTCGTCGTCGTCCTCGCCGTCGTCCTCCTCAGAGGGCCAGGGCGGAGGTTTCGCCGATGCGAGCCGCCCTCCCGCAGAGGTCGTGTCCCAACGGCGCTCCCGCGGAGCCAGCGAGCACCCGCTCGTCTGAATACCTCGTCCTCCCTTCGCCTCCTCGTCCCCATCGTCCTCTTGCCTGCTTGAACACCGCATACGTGGGCACGTGGGGAGCTGAGCATCCTGCGGCCGGATACTGGTTCGATCGGCAGATTTGTTGCCGTTTTCTGATCCAGACATGGGCCTCATGCGTTGGCCCGCTGGGTCACCGCCTGATCACGAGCTCCTCCTCATCCTTGGCCCGCTGGGTCACAGACGCCGATGTCTCCTCCTCCTCCTCCTCCTCCTCCTCCTCCTCCCCCTCCTCCTCCTCAGCCAGGCTCGTCACATGTGACCTGCCTGGTCGCATGCTCATTCAGGCAGCACGGCGTGCGCTGCCCGTGACCCCTCGCACACATGTGCGTACACGGCTGTCCGAGGTACAGTGGAAAAACAAACACGCCAAGAAGCACCCCGCTTAGCTCCAGGGTGCCCTGGGTTTCTTGGATTTCGATGTTTTTGCCGTGGCAGGCGTGTCGTTTCCATCCCGAAAATCCATGGACGGCCTGGGGTCTCAAGGTTGGGTTTCTTGTGGGAAGTTTCTTGTGGTCGGGCCTCCACTGCAGACGGGGTCGGGGGGTCGCGCCGTATCGTCGATGCATCGGTGATGTGGCTCGATGTGGAGCCCGCTTTTCTCCACACCGGCATCGCCGATGCATCGCAGATGCATCGGCGTTACATTTTGCTGATGTGCCGGCGATGCGGCGCGATTCTCCGACCCCATCTACTCGGAGCTTATCTGGGAGGCCTCCAAACATCCTGCGCCGCTTTTCCATCTCACGACGCGAGCGCGTCCGGGAACCCCGCATCGCACGCCGCGGGCCCAGGCGACTGCGGAGGGCCACCCCCTGAGATCCGACGGCGCGAAAGAACTTGCTTGCAGCATGGTGAAGCATCCCGCGCGATCCTCCGACCCCATCTGGAAGGCCCCACGTTCTCCTTACCTTCCCTCTGGTGCATGCGCGCTGGCGGCCTTGCGTCGACTCTGGTTTGTGCTTCGGTGGCGAGCCAATGGGGGAGAAATCAGAAGGGGAGGGCCTCCTCAGAAGTCTCTGAAGCCCCCCCGGCCATCCCAGAAGCTTTCTGGGCCTTCCCCGAAGACACGAACTCACTTCTCAGAAGGCCACAGGCCTTCTGCGAAGCCCCGCCGCCCTTCTGAGGAGGCCTTCTCCTTCTCACTTCCCCCCCCGTGCTCGCCGCCGGTCCTGGGCGAGAACATGTCCGTATGCACGGCCTCGCAGATCCGGCCCCTGGGCCGCGACCCCGCGGATGCGGGGCATCTTGGTCGCGGACGTCTCGCGTGGAATGCCTCCGTGCGACCGCGCATCCGCAGGAATCGCGCCCCGGAATCTAGACCGCGAGGGCGTGGATACGGTTAAGTCGGGCCCGTCCCTCTACAGGAGGGATATGCAGGAATAGTCGAGCAATAGTCAGGGGACTATGTCCTGAGTATTTTTTGACAATTTGGGGGCATTTTTCGACTATTTTACATTTTTCCTCGAAGATCTGCCTGTAGGAGGACAGGCCCGACTTCAGGATACGGCTGCCCCTCCCCCTCGCTCGCCGCCGACTGCTGCCATGGCGAGGCACCCGGCCGCGACGGCCGAGGGGAGGCGCGCACAGCGCCGCGCCGCGCGGCGCACGCCCGGCCGAGGCGCGCCGAGGCGAGTCGAGCTGGGCCCGTCGGCGGTCGGACCAGGGCGGGGCTCGGGGCCAGGCGGGGGGGGTGTCGGCGACTACAATCGGTGCGGTTGCGCCGGGGTGCGGCTTATCAGAGGAGGGAAAGGTACCCATAGCTCTACCCTCCCCTCCTTTTCCCTTTTTTGGGCCTCCTGGGAGGCCCGCGTCACCTCCGTTGGATTCGCCTCGAAATTCTGGTCGGAACGCACCCCAGGAGAGGTCCGGGGAGTAGCGGTATCGGTACCTTTGGTTTCCCCAGTTTGCGAGTTGCTTTGTGGCGGCCTTTCCGGGGCCTTTGTGAGAGACAATGTCGTAACTGTCGTCCTTTCGAGCGACACTGTCATCCTCGACGTGTGCCCCACTGTGCTAGAAGGAGCGACCGTGTCATGTGATCCGGTCGCATCGAGTGACAGTGCCATCCGCTTCCCGGGGGCGGGAGGGGCAGATAAGACGGGAGGCGAACTGCACCCTTCGCAAGCCGCACCCGTTGCAGTCGCCGAGGGGGGGGGAGGGGCTCCGCCAGCGCGGGCGTGGGCGGGTGTCTCCGTTCCCTCCCCCCCGGGGCAGCGGTGTGGGTGGGATCATTAGGCATACGGCGGGGGGGTCCGCCTCCCCGTGTCGACTAAGAAAAGCGCCAACTGAAACTTTTGGCGCGCTGTGGCGTCCACCCTGGCGGCGCCTCCAGCGCCGCCCCTGGC